TAAAAAACTCATCGCATAGATATGGACGAGTTTAAGAAAATTTCATAACCCAGCTTATAAAATTCTATCTCCACGAGTCAAATAAATCACATCCCTCATCTATCGTAACAACTTTAAAGGTAAATAACTAAAAGTCTAATTACTACTAATACAAGTCTCGCACCCTGACCGGCTGGAAATCGCCTTAAGCCTGCTCTCCTCGCCGGTTGAACGCGGAACCGGCACGAAACTCCCACACCGGAGGTGCTTTCCTGTGAAGAGCCTCCAACGCTCAAGTCAGATCTTGAGAGACAATATGAGTGTATGAAAAAGTATAAGAGTATTTGTGATTGTCCCGAAAATGAGGATTCTCGCCTTTATTTATAAAAGCGAGTTACCTGAGCTGCACGCGCGAGCAAGGCGAGTTCGGCCAACTGTCTTCTGCTCGTCCGTACAGCCGCGCGCCTCCACTATCTTTGGTGTCAGGAGATGCGTCCTCTTTGTCAGAGAATGTCAGAGTCCGTTGCAGCTATGTAGCCACTCACAGTGCGCCACGCGTCCTTCCTTTCACGTGCTGGAGATTCCCTTGTGTACTCTGATATTCGACCAATCTTCTGCGACCACGCCCTATCCGACCACTCATGGTGGTTCGTATCTGTCGACCACGTTCGATCTTTGCTGTCTGCTCTCTGCTCCTTTATTGCTAGCGCCTGGTCTTTCTCGACCAGGTCACTCGACCTTTCCTTACTCAGGTAATCCGGCGGTCCGACCTATTTTCTCCGGTTGCCCTGGCAAACCGGTCTAGTATACAATATCCCATATCAACTACTATAAATCCATTATCTATATAGATTTTTTAATAATCTAAATTTCACCTGTCTAATTACTAATATTTTAGATACTTTTAAATATTATTTGTAAAATTTTTTTTACACATTTGCTCTCTCTATATATATACATATATGGAGGTTAAATGAAGATTTTTTTAGACATATTTTCCTTACGGGTAGTTTAGAAAAATTTAGGTAGCTTCAAACATTATTTGTGAATAATATAGAATATTTTATATACTTTTATAGATGTAATACAATATTTTAAGTATTTTTAATATTTATATATCACACTTAAAAAATTATTTTGCCAAAAAAAACATTAAATACACATTGTAAATGTTAATAGAAACAGTCTTCAGTGTTCGTCTTTGATTTTGTCAAAACAAATCTCATAAAATCGGTGAAGTCAAAATTTGTACGTAAAATCTATCTATCTAAAAAAAAGGTAGATTCAAAATTCTTTATCTAATTTCTTCTTTTCCTTATCTAATTCTTTCTTATTATCTAATTGTCTAGAAATATGTTCTGATTTTGTTCAATCCTCTAATTATATTTGTATTATATCCCATAAAATCGGTTTAACAAAAAAAATCCCATAACATCCGATAAGTAGAAAAAAAGTACGTAAAATCTTTACTAAAATAAAAAAGTCTTTATTTATTATCTAATTTTATGAAAATATGTTCTGATTTTATAGTACGTACTACAAATTGTGCACCCGTGTTCAGGAGCTATTTAACGGACAAGCTCTGTTGAAATAACTCATTTAGTGCTTCTGTCCCGTGCATACGGTATGTATTTGTATTACACATACTAGAAAATTGTGCACCCCGTGCATCGCACGGACTCTGTACTAATAAATGACCTTAAAATTATGCACCCCGTGCATCACCTGTGTTCACATTTTGGCCTATTACAGGTCATGTACTATATATATCCCGTACATTTTTCTTTATTCATTTATATAATTATAAGACTTGATACAATGGCCTTAATTTTGTGCACCCCGTGAAACCCAATCCTCCATGAGTCTTAGGTAGAGACATGAGATTCCAGCTTTTCCAGTGAATGCTCTTTTCATTATCACCTCCCTTATTCCACCAAAACTGAGTTGTCAACCTAGCAATTTCCTGGCAAATAGCAGTTGTCAACCTGAAGCATGACATGGCAAATACAGGGAGGGCATTGATGACAGCTTTTACAAGTATTTCCTTCCCTGCAGTGGAGAGAAATTTGATCTTCCAGCTACTCAGTCTTTGCTTAACTTCTTCCATCACAAAGTCAAATGATTCCCTTTTGGATCTGCCAATCCCAAAGGGTAATCCCAGATATCTTGAGGAACTATGAGTTGTAAGGCCGTTGAGCACTGTGCAGATGTGGTTCTTCTCAGAAATTTGAGTGTGCTTACTGAAGAACACAGTAGATTTAGCCAAGTTTACCCTCTGGCCCGAGAAGTTCTCATATTTGTTCAAAATGTCCCCTAACAGTAAAGCTTGTCCCACATCAGGCTTGCAAAAGACCAAAAGGTCATCTGCAAACAGTAGATGGGTTAATAATGGCCCACCTCTGGATATTCTAAGGCCTCTAAACACCCCACTCTCAGCAGCAGAAGAGATTAATACAGATAGAGCCGCAGAGAAAATTAGAAAAAGATAGGATGAGATGGGATCACCCTGCCTCAATCCCCTTGATGGCTTGATATATCCCACTGCCTCCCCATTTAACATGAAAGAGAAAGAGACAGAAGAAACACAGAACATTAACCATCTGATGAATGTCTCCTCAAAGCCCATTTTAGTCATCAAAGCCCTTATACATCCCCACTCCACTCTGTCGTAGGTTTTCATCATATCCAGCTTTAAGGACAGAAAGCAGTGTTTACCATTTCTATGTCTGTTCAAGTAATGGTAACATTCCTGTGCTATGATCACATTATCTAGAAGTTGTCTCCCTGGAATAAAAGCCCCTTGAGCTAGACTTATGCAGTTGTCTAAACATAGTTTTAGCCTTGCTGCCAGAATCTTAGAGATGAGTTTGTAAACTACTGCACAAATGCTGATGGGCCTATACTGAGTGATAGCGTGGGGGTTTTCACATTTGGGTATGATAGTCAGAAGTGTATGATTCCAGTATTTGAGGAAAATTCCAGAGGCAAAAAAGTTGTTGTAACGCCCTGTTTGAATTAGAATTTTTTGAGATTATTTATTGGTTTATTACTGCCATTATTATTATTATTATTATTATTATTATTATTATTATTATTATTATTATTATTATTATTATTATTATTATTATTATTATTATTATTATTATTATTATTATTATTAT